GCCTAGTGGTTAAAGCATCCGCTCGTCGTGCTGAAGACCCGGGTTCGAATCCTAACATGGGTACAATGTGTGAACCCCATTTCTGGCCGTGATATATCTGGAATATTGCTAAAAGCGGCAACTCACTCTTCTAGATTATATGACCCTGAGGTGTCACTTGTCGTGACGAAAGACCCCTTCACTCACTCACTCACTGTCTGATCATAACTAGACACACACCGTGCTGTGAATCTATGAATGTTTTGTCACTCTCCAGGAATTCAATGGCGTTTGTTACAGTGTTACAGTGATATCATACTTTCCACCTGTCACTATGGTTGTGTAGAAACATGTTTTATGTGAGAAACTTCAGCCATGATGGATGTCTGGAGTAGTTTTATGATGGAAGTAGTTGTCTGTACCATTATGAGAAGGACAATATACACGGACATTAAGCAGTGCCCTGGGGAACCTTGTTGACGACATACAGTGACATGTAGGGGACAGGGGACTAACCAGGTTCTCCCCCAGGTGAGACAAGGGTCTCTACAAACTGAAAACTGCACAATATGGAGTTTTTTCATGTGTGTTTTTTTTTTAATATTTATTTCAGATTTAATATTATCATGGGTAGGTTGAAAGAAATGTGTAAAATATGTTTATGCATTCTCATTTGTTCTTTAGAATTTGGGGATGGTGGGATAGCCCAGTGGTTAAAGTGTTCACTCGTTATGACGAAGACCCGGGTTTGATTCCCCTACATGGGTACAATATATGAAGCCCATTTCTGGTGTCTTCCACGTTGCTGGAATATTGCTAAAAGCGGCATAAAACCCAACTCACTCACTCACTCTAATTTGCGTTAGGTTTTGGGGGGCAAGTTAATGCAATATTCATTTGAATTATACTGTATTTTGGGGAACAGCAGTCACTTTCTAAAGTGTGTTGTGTATTGTTTACATATTATGTTCATGCTTAACTGCGGCATGATATCTCATTGGGCTAGCACTATAAAACCAGCCTAAGTCTGGATTAGAACGGGGCGGTGGGGTAGCTTACTGGTTAAAGCGTTCGCTCATCACGCCGAAGACCCGGGTTCGATTCCCCACATGGGTACAATGTGTGAAGCCCATTTCTGGTGTCCCCCACCGTGATATTGCTGGAATATTGCTAAAAGCGGCGTAAAATTAAACTCACTCACTCACTCACTGGATTAGAACAAGCAGCATGCACATCGTCATATGAGCGATGTTAAACCCCATTTCACCTCACCTCAAATCCAGGATGGGATTCAAACCCGAACAGTACTAAAATGTATGCTTTTAAAAAAAACTGTAATTCTAACTATATTATTTGAAACAAGGAATATCTGGCCACACAAACATGACAGTGCCATGCATGAATGTGTGTTTCAGTCACTTTGGCTAAAGAGTTCTCTGCAGTATGGACTTCTTGGTGCCTTCATTACAGCAGATTTCACAGTTGCCTCAGCTTATGAGCTTTGCTCTCTTTAAAATTTTCCATAACTTAATGTAAAGCTTGACAGATCACTTCGGAGACCACAGGATGACTGTTTTTGAGTATATAACGACAATAAATGTTATCCCTATCAATCGTAGCAGCTGGATTAGAACAAAAAAACACAAATTCTTCCAGGGAGAGTACTATTGCTTTTGACAGTTTCTATGCTTTGCTTCTTTGAATGCTCAGTTCGTTTTGACAGACAATTCATCATAGATGAAAATGTCTTGGGAACTTGTGAATTGGGTGCGATAGCCCCCGCTGGTTTACACCTCAGCTTTCAGTGGCCATGTCGTTATGCCTTTGTATGCTCACTCATGTGTGATGTTCGACAAGCTGGAAGGTGGTGGTGGGACCTGGGGAGGTTTGCCTATGTTATTGAGCTATGTCTTTTAATACAGTTTCACATGTGCCAGGTTAAGTCTTGCGTGGCATCACTCATACTGGTGTAAATGTAAATTAATAGTTCAGTGCTGTTGATGGTTGTTGCAGTTTCTGTGAAAGGTCACTTTATGAGGGATTGATAGAGACCAACAAGTATATGTTTATAATATGAATACAGTGGAGTGTGCCAGGCAGTGCAGTTTCTGTCGTCTCGTCTCGTCTCAGATGAATTAGCTTTAGGGTGTCTCATGTTGTGTTCTGTGATGATAGGTTGTGTTTGTTTGTTGCAATGTGTTTACTGTTGACAAATATTACTGCTGCAAATTCACCTTGGTACCCTCTCTCAGACCAGCCAAACAGATAGGATTTTGAAACTGGTGCCTACAAAATCTCATCCTTCTCTCATAGACCGGTCAATCAGTGGGGATTTTGAATGAGAACCAACAATTCAGAATGGGTACTATTGAAAACAGACCTTTCTCTCACAGACCAGTCAAACAGCAGGCATTATGAATCGGCTCCAGCAAAAACTCAATAGAAATAGACAATAGAAATGGAAGTACTGTCTTCATAAGCTAGACAGGATTTCAAAAATATGGATGTAGGATATTTTGATACTTGACATTTGCTTCATATTTAATTTCCTATCTGTAGGAGATAATTAGATGCTACTTGAAGCTGGGACTTCCTGATTCACAAGCCAGCCATATATCCTGTATGTCGTGTATCATGCTGTCCCAGGCACCTACTATAATGGACCTTCTTCATGCTTCATCCCCTGGGTGGACTAAAATTTGTTTTCATTATTTTGTGTGATTGAAAATGTATTGATTAATATTAGATAGTAAGCTTCTGTAGGCAATGTGCTGAGGCTGTTTGTTTCCCAATTACTAGAGGTTATGAGATGATTTCAACTCGGCTTACCTTTGATTGAAGATCCCACTGGGATTTCTATCTGTGCGATGGTCATTAACTCGGGGAGGATCGGTCTCCTATATTGCAACATGGGAGGGCGAGCTTGTGCTAGGGTCAGGATAAACATGTTCAGTAAATATGTCAGGTATCACAAGTTATGTATTGGGGATGCCAGGGATCTTGTCGTTAGCTTATTGGACATCGGTTAAGGTTGACGTACTAACAAGAAGCTCATTGCTATCAGTTATGTCAGATCTTAGACTTTGTGAGATAGAAACCAATTTTGTAACACTTCGACATCATCCATATTGATGATGTACAATTTGCATCTTTACAAATAAAGAGTATAGCCTTGACCACCGCTGTGAACCTCAAACCTTGCTGTGAACCTGGGCTGTCATTATTCATTGATATATTGGGTGAATCTCTACCATGGTATGCTGATTGGGATCCTATGATGAAGTTATATTTGGAAACTATTGCCAGTTTCCTTTGGCCTGTTGTGTTGATTATACACTGAATTCAATATTGTTCATATTACTCCTGGCTTTTTAGGCTATATAGTTTCTGTTAATTATCAAATGCAGTTTATACTGTGAGCAAGTACAATTATTTGATTTTTCTCAAGCGAATTATTGATCTCTCCTACTGTATGACATTCGACTCGCCAAAATTCAAGCCTCGAACTCGCTAAGTTTAGACGCCGCTAACTTTATTCACGGAAATAATTGTTGATAACCACCCTACTATTCCCAATTTGGAAAAGACCTGACACACCACGTTTTATGTGGGATACATGAACAGTGGAAGTGGAAGGACTGGGCATTACGGCCGGGACGGAAGCGGTCAGGTTAGGACGTGTGGGCCGACGTGTTGTTGACGTCAACACACATAGATCTAGACCCGGTTTGAATATACTGCCGCTTTTACGCTGCTGACGGATTTTCCAGCTTCGTAATTTCTTCACTGGGATAAGGGTCAAGAAATTCTTCTTCAAACCATTCGCTTTTTACTTCAAAAACACCAAAGATGCTGCCGAGATAGAAATTGCCGAATCTTTCACTTTAATTAGCGGTCTTAAACTGCCATTTAAGTATGGTTTTGATGAGCTCTCAGTCGTGCTAAAATTTCTGTTAATTATGAAATATGTGTTTACCAAACGTGTTTATTAGCTGTGATGACTCATTTGTCATAACTTGTTCAAATATGATACAGAATTAGCTTTGATATAGAGAGTATAAAATTGCCTGAAGGTTCATGTGACAAATATGTGGTTTCTCCTAACTACAAGACCTGTGGTGTATTAGCTCAGTGGTTAAAGTGTTTGCTTGTCATACCATAGATGTGGCTTTGAGTCCCCACAATGTTTGAAGCCCATTTCTCATCTTCCTTCCCATGATATCGATGAAATATTGTTAAAAGCAGCATTAAAACAATTCTCAGGATTGAGTGAGTGAGGTTAGTTTGACGCGGCACTCAGCAATATTCCAGCTATATGGCAGCAGTCTGTAAATAATCAAGTCTGGACCAGACAATCCAGTGATTAACAGCATGAGCATTGATATATGCAATTTGGATACAATGACATGTGTCAACCAAGTCAGTGAGCTAGGCCACCCGATCCCGTTAGAGGCGAACAACAGGATTGGGTGGTCAGGCTCGCGAACTTGGTTGACACATCATCGTATCCCAATTGTGTACTCACTCACTCCTTAAGAGACTATTTTCAGCAACTCCATTACAGTAAACACTGGCTAGTAAAAGGTAAATTTGTTAATGAGTATTTGGTGGTGTTATAAAGTAGAAAACCAATACTGCCAAAGCTTTATTTGACCACACAGTCAACTGTGCACTGGATGCATATAAGTATGCATTCCTGTGGGCGTCAAAATCCTGTGGGATAGCATGCATGTATTCAGTTTTATTCCCTTCCTAATGCAGCCACAAAGCCACTCAGTGTAACATGTAGTGCACACACAGAACTTCAATACGTCTGTCAATATCATTATATTGACATTTACTATAGAAAACAATACGGTGCCCTTTCCAAATTGTACACATTTTGCAGGGAATTACATCTATAATCCATATCCATAAGATGGATTACAGCATATGTAGGTGCTGTTAAATGTCAGCTGTGATTGATGTGTTTTCAATTTTCTGTCATACAAAGTACTTAAAAGTTTTTTCTTTGTTTCCAGAGCGAGCAGTCACCAAATTACAGCTGGATAACATGGATATTGCCCGGAGGCCATTATCATTTGCCAATGATCAGGTAATACGACATTTTGTGGTTCAGCTACTCCAAGTGTTTGCGGATTTAGTCAGTTGAATTGCTGCATCAGTGCATACATTTTGTATGGGTTTTCATGGGATATTTCATGTGTTATTTGCCTAAAGAGCTGAAAATTTCAGACACTCTAATATGTCTGGTGCAGTATAAATACTTTTATGTAGTATTCACACTCTGATACAAAGATGCAGTATAAGGTAGTATTCATGCTCTCATACAGTTGGTGCAGTATTAGGTAGCATTCACACTCTAGTACAATGGTGCAGTAATAGGTAGTATTCATACTCTAATACAAAGATGCAGTATTAGGTATTATTACCTACGAGGGCGAAAATATCGGGGTTAATATTTTTCATACAATGCCCTAGGGCAAAATATCACTTTGTCATGGTGACGTGACGTCATGAGCAATGCTATGACGTCACATTTCTTCTGTGATGTTGCGTTCTTCATGCGGGCGACGGCAGGTGTAAACATAGTATGACATGGGCACTAATGAAATATCCTGTATGTATTCACACTCTGATACAATGATGCAGTATTAGGTAGTATTCACCCTCTAATACAATGGTGCAGTATTAGGTAGTATTCACCCTCTAATGCAATGATGCAGTATTAGGTAGTATTCATGCTCCAATACAATGGTGCAGTATTAGGTAGTATTCACACTCTAATATACTGGACAAAATAAGTTAGGGATATTGGTATTTTTATTATTGATATTTTATCAGTGTGTTAAATACATAGATCATTATTCATAATTTCAAAATTTGCATATATCCCTAACTATTTTCGTCCAGTATACAATAATTCAGTATTAGGTAGTATTCACCCTCTAATACAATGATGCAGTATTAGGTAGTATTTACACTCTAATACAATTAGGTAGTATTCACACTCTAATACAATGATGCAGTATTAGGTAGTATTCACCCTCTAATACAATGATGCAGTGTTAGGTAGTATTCACACTCTAATGCAATATTGTGCAGTATTAGGTAGTATTCACCCTCTAATACAGTCTCCCTTCAGAACAATTTCAATTACATATAAAAATTTATCCAATAAATTACAATCCTTGGTGAATATTGATGATAGATTTGTAATGCTTAATGTTTCACAGCTGGTTACCACTTATATTTTCATATATTTTTATATGTTAATTGTTATCAATAATATGATTAGTATTTTCTCTCCCAAATGGTCATGGGTAAAGATAGTAAGGATCTATCAAATGCATTAGCAAAGTGTAAGTAACCAATAGCTCGATAAATATGATAATTTTGTTACAAAGACAATAACATTTACCTAATCAGAGCATGTAATTAATTCCAGCGAAAATAGTTGGATATATCAAAAGGATGGCACATTTTTTTCGGTATGACGATGCAAGTGGAGTTGTTTGTATACCGCCGTTGCCATGGTCCTAATCGTCCAATCGGTGATGTAACATTGAGATTGTTTTTGTTTACAAATAATTAAACCAACAGTTACTAATTTTTAGAAAATGGGAAACTTCAGAGTTTTCTCTTCACCAAAGAACAAAAATATTGATAAAATTATTTTAAAAATATTTCAATATGAAGAAAATATTAGAGTGGGTACCACTCTTCGTGATGTGCCTGGGCCTAGATTTTCGAAAGCTCTCTTAGCGCAAAGATAGTCGTAAGTTAATGTTAATGTATGGCACTTACGACTATCTTAACGCTAAGAGAACTTCGAATATCTAGGCCCAGAGGTCAACAATGGCCGTTATTTGCGGCTGTGTGCCAAGAATTTTGGCTAACACATTTTTAATTCATGGGCATTTCGTTTTAAGGTACATAAACTAATTGAAGATTATATATTTAGAAAGCTGAGAATTAATGCATAATTCAAATGACACGTAAATTCGACTTGATAAATAGTTATTGCAAGTTATATTTGGGGATGTCATTATGCTGCTCTGCTGTCGAATGGGTTTCACAGTAGCATTGAGAGGATTAAGAACTAAGGATATGATAGCTGGATAGCTTGCTTTTTTTTTTAATTCATGAATGAATACTCTCTTGTGAGTGTTGAAAGGAGCATTTCAGAATTTTTTTCTGTGTGCTGTTTTTTAAAGAAAACTGACGTCATTTGCAGACAGAAACCATACTGTTTTCGTTAATAGCAACCTGACCGTATATATATCTGTTGTGATTGAATTAAAATGTTTACAGTTTATGTTAACTGCACTTGCTGGAACATTATTCCATTTTACCATCCATCGATCTCAAGGCGTTACAGAGAGGCATCATACTGAAGTGAAAGATTTTATGAGATTACAGTACTATTTCTGTTAAAAAAATCATTATCATTATGCATGTGGTAAAAAGTGTGTGGTAAAAATCACGTATTCCTTGACCTGGTAGATTTATAAATATCCGTTTTGCTGCATGTGAGTTCCTACACAGTTACAGTTTATAGATTGCTGGGCTTACAGGATAGCTCAAAGAAAACTTGAATATATATCAAAGAAACATTCATACAAACAGGATATTTACTGATGTCTGTGTTTATTTTTGTGATTTGAGTTTCAAGGATGAAATAGGCATCTGGATATTCAGCTCAACATGCAGTTCACCCTTTAAATTTGTGGAGGTTCAAAAGATTCGTACAAAAGAGCATAATTTGTCTGTGCATGAATGTGTGTGTCCGTGTGTGTGTGTGATTTTTTTTATTGCATTCATGAATTTTTATCTTGGGAAGCCCTTGAGTAAGAAATGATGTCACTGCCAATACCCCAGCATATCCTACCTCAAAAGACAAGAGAGCTCAGTCTTAGACAAGAATAGCAACGTCCTATGTCAGATAACATTGCGGTAGGTTTAAGACGGCATCAGGAATGGCTCTTAAGGCAGTGAAACTTTAGTTGTAAGTCGCTAAGATGTGATGTAGCTAAGACAACTTCATGAAAAGGCTGCCAGGTTATTTGGGGGTTAATCTCTGTCAGTTGTAAACAACTCCTTCCATTTGTTTCCTACATTGAGAAAGCCCAGTCATCCTTCTTTTCAATGAAATTCCATATGTGAGTGAACGCGCATGACTTACCATTAAGTAGTGATATCCTAGCAGCCCGTAAGTCTATATCTTGTTTACTTTAAGAAAAAAAGTAAGACAAACTTCCTTTGTTGGTTGCATGCTGGCTACATGTCCTGTGAGCCCCGGTAGGACCCATGATGGAACTCTAGCCTCTCTGGGTGGGGACACAAGAAGTATCAATGCCATCACTGAAATAGTATCTACCTATCCTAATCTGAAACCTCCATGGAAATAAGAGACACATCAAGTTGTGAGTGTAAAAGACAGTGGAGTAGCTCTTGACAGGATGTCCCGTCATTTCTGTCATTTCGTGTGCTAGGTGCTTTGGCACACTATCCAAGACTCCACAGAGAAATATTTGCTGCTAGCTGTTGTTATTTGCTTGGTAGATGACATTTACGTTTGTCATTGAGCCTTTCCTTTGAAATTTTATTGACAAAAATTGCCAGTAATTTTCCTGATTGGAATTTGTGCCACATCCCACAAAGGATATTAATGAACATTTAGTTGGGACACAGCACAAGAATGGGTGTAATTATGTCTGGATGAGCAGCAACTACCGTAAATACTCACATAGGCACCCTTTCACATTTAGCCGTGTGTTCGACTTTCAAATAGAGCAGTATGCTTCCAAAATAACAAATTCTATATCTACATCAATTTGGCAGTGATGTTAATTGCACTGAGTTTCACTTGTTCTCACTGGAGAGTATTGCAAGGTTTCAGCTGGAGACTTGGATTTTTGGTATTAACACGTAAGGCCAGCCCAATTCTATTTCTTGTTTTACGGATTTTTGTCTTCAGAAAACCTAAATGCAGGAGGAAATTTTTTTATTAAAAAATCACCAGTCAAAGTAATATTCCTTTTAAATACCGAAAGTATTTTACTTTTGGCAGTTTATAATGTGTGTATGGGGCAAAAAAAACGATCACGCTGGGAAATTTTTAATTTTTTAAATTTTTCTTTTCTTTTCTTATTCTTGAAAAAATAAGACCGGCGGAACTGTAAAACAAGAAATAAAATTGGTTTGGACTAAATTATGTTTATAACGAACATACTTACAAACTGCGATATAACAACCTGTTATAATTGTATAATAACTGTATAATTCATGTCCAAATGTGAGTGATGACCTATGGTTATAATGCACAAACATTACTGGTCCGTTTGAGTTCATTATAACCATAGAGTACTGTACTTATAAACAACTCATGTTCTACTTGAAAGGCACTTAGTTTTACAGGTAACAATATAGACAATAACAATTAGGGGTCTTAGAAATTGTTTATTGGTTTTTCTGAAGGAGCCAATCTAAGCCAACACCTCATTTAACAAGAAGTACAGATGTGGAAGGTAGGTTCTAAAATAATTTAACCTTACCTACTGCAAGACAAATAGCGTGGGTGGCCTCCATGAATAAGCACCTTTTCAAATAATACTTAACTGTTCAAAAATGTAAAATCCTCTCTAAAGGGATAATTATATATAGTTAACACTGAGACTTTTTGTGCTGTGGCCACGTGCCAGTGTTAGTCTAGGCAAACAAACACTGGGTAATTGAGATAGCATGTCATAATGTTGGATGGAAAATAACATGTACCTTATCTAGATTGTGGCAAGGTCTGTGTGCTTGTCAGTTGATGATGATAAGTGAAAGAGGAGTGTGGTGTTAGTGTGAACGTGTCAAGACTGAAAAAAAGGAGATTTGTATGGAGATAACACACAGCCTGTTGTTACTGCTCACTGTCTAATGTACCAGTACTATGTCTTCTGGAAGGAGTTGCTTCCCTTATATTCCCTGCTCACTGTCATCTTTTCCTGTAGATAGTTAAATTAATTACTAGTAGTTCTACCATTTAATTGTGGAGATAGTTAGATCAGTCGCTCGCTCCATATGAAACAAGGCCATTTCTGTCTGAAATGTAGAATAATGTAGAAATGTATTAATTACGGATCAGTGTGCACTACAACCCAAGCTGCCTGTGAGGTGCTTGGTGGTTAACAGTTATGAATATATCAACCCACCAGGTACCCATTCACTGCTGGGTGAACAGAGGGAATATTGAACAAACTCACTTGCCTAAGGTGAGACCAGATGTGTCTTATATGCTTCATTGTGCAGCAGGTCTGAAGTCATAAAAACCGCATGAGTCATTCTGCCAAGCACAGTCACTCATCCAATTTTCTCAGCGACCAGTGTTGCCTAATTTCAACTGATTAGTGCACTGTGGTCTTTGCACAGTGCCACACACCACCACCAATAGTTTTGTGTTATGTATCCTGTATAAATGGCAGAAATAATCAGAGTAAGGCATTGATATGTTTTCTTCAAGAAGTTGGGCAGGACTAAACTGATGGTGCTTGTGTGTTGTAAGACAACTGATCCTGATGTGTTTCATGGTGAAGCCTTTGTTGCACCTATGTGACACAAGAGAACAGCTAGTACAGTATAATTTCCGCAGCCTAGTTGTGAGACTGGTACTTGTCACATCAGATGACGGAAATGAAATGTCCAGACACCTCAATGCAAGGGTTTCATGTTTCAGTAGGTTGTGGTCCTAAGTGGACCACTAGTGTTGAAACAACGCACACAGAGGCATAGTGAACTGTAGAGAACAGCAGGGACTTGATGGTAGATAGTTAGTATTGACAATACAGGGCCCTCTGTGGATCACTAGTATTGAAACATCCCAGACAGAGACATAGTGAACTGTGGAGAAGTGTAGGGAGAGATGGTGACCACAGTAACTTGATGGTAGATAGTTAGTATTGACAATACAGGGCCCTCTGTGGATCACTAGTGTTGAAACATCCCAGACAGAGACATAGTGAACTGTGGAGAAGTGTAGGGAGAGACGGTGACCACATGAACTTGATGGTAGATAGTTAGTATTGACAATACAGGGCCCTCTGTGGACCACTAGTGTTGAAACATCCCAGACAGAGACATAGTGAACTGTGGAGAAGTGTAGGGAGAGACGGCGACCACATCAACTTGATGGTAGATAGTTAGTATTGACAATACAAGGCCCCTCTGTGGACCACTAGTGTTGAAACATCCCAGACAGAGACATAGTGAACTGTGGAGAAGTGTAGGGAGAGACGGTGACCACAGTAACTTGATGGTAGATAGTTAGTATTGACAATACAAGGCCCTCTGTGGACCACTAGTGTTGAAACATCCCAGACAGAGACATAGTGAACTGTGGAGAAGTGTAGGGAGAGACGGTGACCACAGTAACTTGATGGTAGATAGTTAGTATTGACAATACAGGGCCCTCTGTGGACCACTAGTGTTGAAACATCCCAGACAGAGACATAGTGAACTGTGGAGAAGTGTAGGGAGAGACGGCGACCACAGTAACTTGATGGTAGATAGTTAGTATTGACAATACAGGGCCCTCTGTGGACCACTAGTGTTGAAACATCCCAGACAGAGACATAGTGAACTGTGGAGAAGTGTAGGGAGAGACGGTGACCACAGTAACTTGATGGTAGATAGTTAGTATTGACAATACAAGGTCCTCTGTGGAAACTAGTGTTGAAACATCCCAGCTAGAGACATAGTGGAGAAGTGTAGGGAGAGACGGTGACCACATCAACTTGATGGTAGATAGTTAGTATTGACAATACAAGGTCCTCTGTGGATCACTAGTGTTGAAACATCCCAGACAGAGACATAGTGAACTGTGGAAGAGAAGTGTAGGAGAGACGGTGACCACAGTAACTTGATGGTAGATAGTTAGTATTGACAATACAAGGCCCTCTGTGGACCACTAGTGTTGAAACATCCCAGACAGAGACATAGTGAACTGTGGAGAAGTGTAGGGAGAGACGGTGACCACATCAACTTGATGGTAGATAGTTAGTATTGACAATACAAGGCCCTCTGTGGACCACTAGTGTTGAAACATCCCAGACAGAGACATAGTGAACTGTGGAGAAGTGTAGGGAGAGGCGGTGACCACAGTAACTTGATGGTAGATAGTTAGTATTGACAATACAAGGCCCTCTGTGGACCACTAGTGTTGAAACATCCCAGACAGAGACATAGTGAACTGTGGAGAAGTGTAGGGAGAGACGGTGACCACAGTAACTTGATGGTAGATAGTTAGTATTGACAATACAAGGCCCTCTGTGGACCACTAGTGTTGAAACATCCCAGACAGAGACATAGTGAACTGTGGAGAAGTGTAGGGAGAGACGGTGACCACAGTAACTTGATGGTAGATAGTTAGTATTGACAATACAGGGCCCTCTGTGGACCACTAGTGTTGAAACATCCCAGACAGAGACATAGTGAACTGTGGAGAAGTGTAGGGAGAGACGGTGACCACATCAACTTGATGGTAGATAGTTAGTATTGACAATACAAGGTCCTCTGTGGACCACTAGTGTTGAAACATCCCAGCTAGAGACATAGTGAACTGTGGAGAAGTGTAGGGAGAGACAGCGACCACAGTAACTTGATGGTAGATAGTTAGTATTGACAATACAAGGTCCTCTGTGGACCACTGATGTTGAAACATCCCAGACAGAGGCATAGTGAACTGTGGAGAAGTGTAGGGAGAGAGTGTAGATAGTTAGTATTGACAATACAGTGCCAAGGAAAATGTGTCACATAAATTGACGGAAACCAATAAGGGAACATATAAAACTACAAATATTCCTTTACTTATTCCCAAATGTTCATTCAAAAGTGTAATACAGAGCTTGTGAAGAAACCAGGAAAAGAATATTGGAACAGTTGTACTTTAGTGTTCATTCACTTCCACCAGTTTATGAAACAAAGAATCCTCTGTATTGTCATTGATTACCATGTACTGTCATGTTCTGTGACATGTCATGTGCTCACAGCATGTTTTCGACCAAAGTGTGATCACTTGTTTGTGTGAACTGAAAGTTAGGAACTTGGGACAAAAAAATCCCACACTTTTTTTGAGTAATGTGTTGCAAGAGGCGTTGACAGTTATATGAAGAGTGATCTTGGCAGAAAAACTCCACTGTGGAGAAGGCTATGTTTTTGTAAATTTCCGCTAAAAATGTAAGACGGCTATAATGTAGTAGTTATGTTGAAGCCATGAGTGGGTGTGTAAGTGTTCATACAAGATAGTTATTGCGCAAACATTCCATGTAGAAACAGTGACAATATTCTATAAACTACATAAACAAGATATGTAAGTCAGAGTAACAATAGATATGCTAATACAAATGTGTATAATGGCCTAGGACAATCTAGAGATCTTCTAGATTTGTTTGAAGTTGTATATATGATAGCAGAATATTTCTGTGCTATCTGGTACATTATTTGTAAGGGGCTAAATTTTTCTGTGGTGGTAAGGCTTTGAAAGTAACTAATTTGAGAGGAACGGTTATTAGATAAGCAGTATCTTACATCTGCATGTTTACTACAAGACAGTTTACTTCAAGTAGTTTTCTTCAACCTCAAGGGGGCGGTGGTGTAGCCTAGTGGTTAAAGTGTTCGCTCATCATGGCAAAGTCCCGTGTTCGATTCCCCACATGGGTACAATGTGTGAAGTCCATTTCTGGTGTCCCCCACCATGATATTGCAGGAACATTGCTAAAAGTGGGGTAAAACCCATCTCGCTCACTCATTCATCCTCAAGAATTGAGCATTGATCACAGAGCCGGTCCTCCAAAGGTGTAGGTGGTCTTGCTCTTCTGCCCAGTTAAATTATTAGCCTGTGATAACTCAGTCTTAGTACTGTAATGTAGATACGGTGTGTTTTTTATCTTGCAGTGTTCTAGGTATGGTTCACGATTAACAATGCAACAAATAGTTTTATAATAGTTTTTTAGTTTCATATGAACAAAAAATAGTGTTGTGTGATGAATATGGTGATTAGACATGAGTTGAATTTTCATGATTTATGGGGACACAAAACCATTTTGAAAAACGAAACATCCTGTGTTCGTTTAATCAGTATGCACCAGAGTTTTTTCTCTCTAAAATCTGATACTTTAAGTGTAGATATTGAAACACTCAGAGCGTGACATGGCAAGTTGATCAGTAATCTCCCAGCTTTTAGTTGACGGATGTTTGACATTTCCGTAAATCTGGGTTGGCCAACCTCTGGGCATGATAAACCAAAATACGATAAAAACAATGTCGTAATGTATTCTCCATCTGACAGCAGCCCCAAACAGGGCTGATCTGTGTACGCCAGGGCACTCTCATCTCAGCCTGCTGTTTACCCTGGCTGATACTCCTGACTGGCTACACTACACACTGTTGCCAGATTGTCTTACAGTCTATCGGCTGTCGTGCTAGTGTTCCATACGTGCAATTGGTCCATGCCCTGTTTGATGGCTTGGGCCCACCTCAGGGACCCTTTGTTACTATTGAAATATTAGCTAACAGATACCAGCACAACACTGTTTTGTGTTTTGAAGTTGCACAATACCATGTGGGTCTTCTCAAACATTCTGGGCAGAAAAGGTTACTGCTATCTCATGGTTCATAAGATGGGAATGTAATGAGGTGTGTGAATAGTACATGCTGGCCTGTGCCACAATCACCAGTGTTACTAACCTGTTCAATCAGGACACACAATCAGGTTACTACAGGACACACACAATCCACCTGTGTTACTACATGCTGGCCTGTGTCACAATCAGGTGTAACCTGTTCAATCAGGACACACACAATCCACCTGTGTTACTACGTGCTGGCCTGTGTCACAATCACATGTAACCTGTTCAATCAGGACACACAATCAGGAGTAACCTGTTCAATCAGGACACACACAATCTACCAGTGTTACTACATGCTGGTCTGTGTCACAATCAGGTGTAACCTGTTCAATCAGGACACACACAATCCACCAGTGTTACTACATGCTGGCCTGTGTCACAATCAGGTGTAACCTGTTCAATCAGGACACACACAATCCACCTGTGTTACTACATGCTGGCCTGTGTCACAATCAGGAGTAACCTGTTCAATGAGGACACACACAATCCACCAGTGTTAATACATGCTGGTCTGTGCCACAATCAGGTGTAACCTGTTCAATCAGGACACACACAATCCACCAGTGTTACTACATGCTGGCCTGTGCCACAATCACATGTAACCTGTTCAATCAGGACACACACAATCCACCAGTGTTACTACATGCTGATCTGTGCCACAATCAGGTATAACCTGTTCAATGGGGACACACACAATCCACCAGTGTTAATACATGCTGATCTGTGCCACAATCACATGTAACCTGTTCAATCAGGACACACACAATCCACTAGTGTTACTACATGCTGATCTGTGCCACAATCACATGTAACCTGTTCAATCAGGACACACACAATCCACCAGTGTAACTACATGCTGATCTGTGCCACAATCAGGTATAACCTGTTCAATGGGGACACACACAATCCACCAGTGTAACTACATGCTGGTGTGAAGCCCATTTCTGGTGTTCACTACTATATGCTGGTGTGTGTAAGATTGTCATTGGAAGTTACAAATCCTAGCACAACAACTGTCGCAATTGAAAGTGTGTGCTAAGATTACACTTTGTACAACAGTACCATGTTAAAAAAGGCTTAGATATAACACCAGAGAATAATCTGTTTCAGTTATCTGTCGAAATAAATTCTACTCACCATAAGAACCGAAAAAATCCTCACACTGCCATTTGATAAGTTAAGATAAGATATTTATTGCATAGCATTCCATGACGGAACATTGGCAATATTCTATAAACTACAAGTTTAAACCTAGTAGGTACAAAGATATTGAAATACAGATACATTTAACCATATAAATGCTGTACATTGTATCAATTTCACAAATCATAGTTAGTATAATGACAAGGACTACGGTAACAGTGATACACAGAATGGTAATACACATTTGGAGGTATTTCAAAAACCAACACTGTGGATCCTTTACTGGGAGGCAGGTAGTCTGTCTCACAGTCCCTGAACCACATTATTTTCCCTTCTGCCAAGTCCTTTCTGCAGTGCTAAAGCCTTAAATATAGCAAGTCTAGATTCCTCAGGTTCTGAATCTCTGGTCACCCTGGGGCTCCTTTTCAATATAAATTGACTTGTTTGTTACTATCAAAATTATATATATTCAGAGACTAAGCATTAGTCTAGGAGGCAGGATGACATCACAAAATTGTCTATAGCTGCACAGTACTCATTGGCTTGTAGCAGTCAGTGTTTCATCTTGTTGGAGAAGGCATCTTTAAGTCTCTACTCAATAACCTTCGTAACTTGAGCATCCATGGTTGCCTGCAAGGATTAGTATGTGTGAAGCTATGAGACAGTGTTAATATCACTCAAGCACAGTGGCCACATGGAAATGTTTGTAAAGTGGAGATTCAAAGATGAAAGATAATAGATCAGTAACAAATGAATGGATTTAAATCAGCTGTGGCTGGGGCACTCGGACCATGCTGGATTGTTGTTGTTAAGGCATCTAGGGCATCGACAGACTAGAGCAATGGCTACAGGCAGCTTCAGCCCTGTATGTGAACACAATCTAGTCTTGTAGACTTTACAGGTCAGCGAATTGATAAGACACTGGGTTGCAGGAGCATGCCTTCATTACTATTGTCATGAAGCAGAATATTTTTTAAAGTCTACTTTTGCTATTGTCAGTGTATCTTTGGTTGAGTAGGGCGGTGGGGTAGCCTAATGGTTAAAGCGTTAGCTCGTCACGCCGAAGACCCAGGTTCGAATCCCCACATGGGCACAATGTGTGAAGCCCATTTCTGGTGTCCCCTGCTGGAATATTGCTAAAAGCGGCATAAAACCTAACTCAGTCAGTCAGTCTTTGGTTCAGATGTTGTTGTGTTTTGAAACAATATCCTAATCAACTCATGATGAATAGCACTACATTGACAGACACTTAACAGGATATGAAAGTGAATGCATAATGCTGTCATGTACACTATAATCAGTCTAATAGTCAGTCTCAAAGTCCCTGAACCGTATGATTTTCCCTACAGCCTAGCCCTCCCAGCAATGCTTAAAGCCTAAATGAAGCAAGTCTAGATTCCTCAGGTTCTGAATATCCCTTCTCACAGAGGCTCCTTTTTGAAAGGAATTATTTGTTTCTATCAAAATTATATATATTCAGAGACTAATTGGTACTCTACAATCCATCATGCAACGATCCCATGGCAACAATAGGTCCTAAATTCAGTAGAATGTAGCTATAATGAAGCATACACATTTATTTACTTCAATCTCTGATCTCCCTGAGGCTCCTTTTCAATTGAAATGGATTTGTTGGTTACCATCAAAATTATATATATTCAAAGACTAAGCATTAGTCTACCAGTCTAAATGTCAGGGTATTTATCCAGAAGCTGTGTTGTTTATCAAGATGCATTGTATACATATGCCATAGATACATGATGGAGACAGTGTGTTATACAGCAGGTTGACGGTGTGATAGTATAGGGATACGACATACCAGCCTGGTCTACTTGTTTATACAAGATGTATTGTATACATATGCTATAGATACATGATGGAGACAGTGTGTTATACAGCAGGTTGACGGTGTGATAGTATAGGGATACGACATACCAGCCTGGTCTACTTGTTTATACAAGATGTATTGTATACATATGCTATAGATACATGATGGAGACAGTGTGTTATACAGCAGGTTGGCGGTGTGATAGTATAGGGATCACCACATACCAGCCTGGTCTACTTGTTTATACAAGATGTATTGTATACATATGCTATAGATACATGATGGAGACAGTGTGTTATACAGCAGGTTGACGGTGTGATAGTATAGGGATACGACATACCAGCCTGGTCTACTTGTTTATACAAGATGTATTGTATACATATGCCATAGATACATGATGGAGACAGTGTGTTATACAGCAGGTTGACTGTGTGATAGTATAGGGATACGACATACCAGCCTGGTCTACTTGTTTATACAAGATGTATTGTATACATATGCTATAGATACATGATGGAGACAATGTGTTATACAGCAGGTTGACGGTGTGATAGTATAGGGATACCACATACCAGCCTGGTCTACTTGTTTATACAAGATGTATTGTATACATATGCTATAGATACATGATGGAGACAGTGTGTTATACAGCAGGTTGACGGTGTGATAGTATAGGGATACGACATACCAGCCTGGTCTACTTGTTTATACAAGATGTATTGTATACATATGCTATAGATACATGATGGAGACAGTGTGTTATACAGCAGGTTGATGGTGTGATAGTATAGGGATACGACATACCAGCCTGGTCTACTTGTTTATACAAGATGTATTGTATACATATGCTATAGATACATGATGGAGACAATGTGTTAAACAGCAGGTCTACTTAGTATACAATGTGTTTCAAACCGATTTGCACAGAGAAATTAGGCATTTTTTTGCTATCCTCAAAGTAGATAGTTTGTACACAAAATAGACAGTGTATGTTGTTCAACAAATATACAGCGTGTGTTATACACCAAATAGACAGTATATATTATATATCAAGTTGACAATGTATGTTCTTCTCATTGTTGTCAGTATCTATACATCAAGTTGACAGTGTTTCTTATACACGAAGGCAACAGTCAGTGTTATCAAATCAAATCAAATATTTATTGTGCAAATGTTCCATACAGAAACAGTGACAATATTCTATAAACTACATAAACAAGATATATAATGAATCACATATATATGATGAGCAACAAAACATATAATAATACAGATGTGTATAATAATAATAATAATGGCCTATACACCCAGTACACAGTGTATGTAATCACCAAGTTGATGTGTATGTTATACACCAAATAGTCTGTATGTTATACACCAAGTGAACTGTATATGTTTTGAACCATGGTATAACTCAGTTTGCCAAGAAGATATGAATACACTCAATCAGTAATGAGGTAAGACATCCCATTCTTTATTGCCCTTCATCAACATCAAAGAGCAGTCCCAGTCCTCTTCCTTCATGAACTTGAGACCCAGCAATCATCCTTTGAAATGTCATTAAGGATATAGTTTTACATCCATAAAGTGCAGAGGTCAGCATGTCCAGTATGTTGAAAGGAATATCTTTGCTTGATATCCGATAGTATTCAATTTTCAACTGAAATATTTCTTTTGGCGGATATTCTGAAATCGGGTATCTGAAGTTGGTGATTTTAATGAAGAAACCTGAATCCTTCTTTTTGAACTGAACCTGTGTGAGAAGACATGACATCAATGAGATGCCTCTTACAACTACAGAGCAGCAGGATCTAGTCCATCATCATGCACAGCAACATTATGACAGGTAGAGTCATATTAATGTCTTACTGACCAGCTTCTTCAGTGGACTTGGTATGAGTCATATAGGGACAACTTCAGCTCAAGCCATCTTTGATGAGTGCAGTGAACTCATAAAGTACCGGCACATGGGCAAACCAAATGAAGCTTTGTAAAACTGCAAATATATGCATTTGACCGATGTAACAATCGGATGGACAACAGGACTTATATAATGTTAGGCATATGTGTAATGGCCTTAAGTTTGTAGAACGTTGCTGCCATTTAAAATGCAAATGACTGATGGAACTATCCCAAGGAAAAATGGAACATAACATTTTTGAGCATTTATACCTTAGCCTTTGGCTTTTAGAAAGTTGCTTCCTCTGTGTAATAATGTAAATCTGCCAAACCTGGAACTTAGAAGTGACACTCACTTGCAATGGTTGATTATCACAGTTATATTTGTAGATCAGCAACAAATAAAAAAAAATGTAAGGAGGCGTATTTTTGTATTTACTTCCACACATTGTCAATCTGCATGGTTTTTTTTAATTACATGTTGTCATTCAGTGTCAGTCGTCCCATCAGGGAAGTTCACTAACCTGTCATTTGGTCAAGGTGCTGACATTACTCTGGTAGTCCAAGGAGAAACCCAGCAAGTCTGTTCTGTCAGATGAACATGCTTCTCCAACTTTCCTTGTCAACTACTGCACATGCATCTATTGACCGCCTCCGTGGTGTAGTGGTTAGAGCGTCCGCCCGGAGAGCGGAAGGTCGCGGGTTCGATCCCCACGCGTCCATACATCATTCCAAAATGACGCCTGTCTGGCCTTCGACGTTAAAATATGGTACAACAAGGACTGGTTGGCACAGAGTCAGTATAATGTGTCTGAGTGGGGTATTCATGCTTCACTGCGGCATGGTATCTCAGTGGGCTAGCACTATAAAACCAGCTTCCGTCTGGGCTAGTACAAGCATACACATACACACGCATGCACGTCGTCATATGAGTGAAATATTCTCAAGCACGACGTTAAACCCAATTTCACCTCACCTCACCTCACCTCACCTCACCTCACCTCACCTGTATCTATTGTTTAAAACAATAAGTAACACTTGCTTTCATCTCCAGTAATTTTATCAACAGGGTGTCGCAAAACTTTCCAGAGGCAGTTAAGGTTGATGTGTGTGAGACAATTGCAATAATTTCTTGGCAAAAGACTGAAGATTTACAATGTATACTTGACTGCATGGTATAGTGGAGCATATAATATTCAAAACACTATGTGGCTATTCCAAGGAGAGATTAACACTGGGTATGCTTCTCCTGGTTTGTGGGCGAGAGTGACTAAAGCATGCAGTCATCATTTTTCATGACCAGATTCAAATATTCATTGCTGGAAGCTATTGTAATGTGGCTGGAATAGTATTGATAATTGTTGAATTGTAAACTGTTTTCCATCGTTATTGGTGCTCTCCATCGATGATTCTTCCTACCCCTTGTGCATGAATCACTAAGCTCTATTAGTGTTCAAACTCCTTTGACTGAAGCATTGGCCAACCCAGTACTTGTTCACAAGGACAATTTTGTTCCATAGATGACATGCAAATCAGTAGATTAAAACATAGGGTTGCTTCATTGTAAGAAGTAATATGGAAATATTGTAATTTTGATAGTAGAAGGCTGATAATAGTGAGATATGAATGCTTTTGTATTGTGGTTGGGGAGTCAGTTTATGCCTTTCCCCTTACTCAACCTCTTCAAAGTTGGAATATAGGAAATGAAGGAATTGACTCCACAGTTTACACCCACAGTACTGGAGTTCTCTCCCCTACTTTTAACATTGAGATGACTAAGGTCACAGATGAACCACAATTGAAAGCAGGAGAAGCTGTGGTGATAGGGGGGTGACAGGAGTTGTCTCCCCCTGCTTCCAACTGGTGGCTGGGATCACAGATGAACTACAGATGAGAGGTGGATGCCAGGGAGATATGTTCTTCAAAACATGTGTTCCATCTTTTGAAGTTCCACGATTGATAGGCGCAGATATTAGACATGATATCAACACACAGGATTTTCCATATATAAAAGTCATTATGAGGGAGAGTGTGTGCTAGAGAGTGTTACTAGGTTCGTCTTTCTGGATTCTTGGTTCCGCCACACATGTGCTTTTGTTAGGAATGTCCCACCATGCCCGACATCAAGTAGATAGCCGAAATATAACTTGCTGAATGGGTCCTTTTGAGTTCCTGTGTGTTCATGTTTTGATAGCAGATTCTGTATTATTGGTAACCAATGAACCGTTCCCACTGGCCCTTTTAGATTCCCTCACCTTTAGGGTTTCTGGGTTCCATTTGGATATGTTTTGTAGATAAATACATATATGTATATCAAATATCACTTTCTTACTGTGACTAAATGTAAGTTTATTACACTCTGACCTTTAAAAGGGTTGGTTCCATGGGGTAGTGTGATTAAAGCTTGGTACCAAAGACCTTTCCTTCACAACATTGTGTGAAGATTTTCTAGTGTACCCGCTGTGATGTTCCATTGCTGAGTAGTGTCCAAACCAGTCACAGTTAAAAGGGTTGACCAGATCAAGATCCTGCAGATATTTCTAAAAGCTTCATTTCCAAATGAGTCTTGTAGTTTAGATGATTATGTAAAAGCTTCCCCTTGTAGTTTATGATTATGTAGGTTCATTGCACACCACAAGGCATTGCTCACAGCAGGCAATGTTTGTATGATTGGGAAGTTGAACGAATTGGATACTTAGAAATCTGTCTACCGTTTATATCAGTGAGATTTGGAATCAAGTGAATCCAGATTGATTTGGGTTATTGTATAGTGGTATATCTATTTTGATTGCTTGTTATTCCAGAAAATACCATCTGGTTATGACACATTAATCTTCAGTTCTATTCAACTTGATATTTGGTTAGACTTGATTGTACATGAATATCTCTGAGCGAAGTATAAATATCAAAGTAATCGCTATATATGCAATATCTATAGGTCGTATTGTAGACAAAAAGCTGTAAAACAAATCAATTGTTAATCACACTGAGTGGAATCATAAAATTACGGTATTCAGTTTTACCAGATGTTTTGTTTTGGATTAAAGTTTAAAGGATAAAAGAATGTATATTGCATCTTTTTGCCAGGCTTCACCTTCAAGTTACAGTTTATGGTAGACAAATTTGGTGGACCATTTTCTCAAGACTGCAACTGTTATGATTCTATCTTGGCATAATAGGTTTTGTACTGAGACAAGCTAGATAACCTACATTCTCAGTAACTGTTTGACATTCTGTAGAAATTCATCTTGTTGAGGCAGAGTTTTATGACAAGGCATGACCCAGCAGAAACAGGAGGATTGGACTGGATTGGCTCAATCCAGCCACTTTATGGAAGATTGACTTATTTCTGAAACTCAGCAAAAGTTTTATCAAATGACTTGATTACCAGTGCCTCTCATGTAAAAATGAAGTTTTGGGCATCTCATATGTTCTCTCCTGTTTCTCATGTAAAGCTTCTTGTATCTCTCACATAAATGCTCCTATTTTTCATGTGAATTTTTGCATATCTCGTAAATCCTTCATGTAAAGATTTTGCTTCTTTAACATAAACCCTCCTGTTTTCAAGAAAAGCTCTCCCATAAACCCCTTAAGATTGTGAAATAACTGTACCTTTTTTCAAAAATACCTATATATCAACAGCAGTATGTTTTTCACAATGTAGTGAGATTTGTAGTTCATTGTATGTAACGTTTGGATTAAATTGTCACCCAGTTTATGGTGCTCTTACCAGTACATCACAGACCTCCCGGGTTTTCGGAGAGAAGAAAATTATTACATTTGACTATCCAACTGTAAGTACCTATGTTACATGTCATTGTTCGTCACACCCGATCTCTGTGTGGATTCTGGGTTGAAATTAGCCCCCAGAAACTTATGCTGGTCATAAGATGTGATTGAATCAATCATGTGATCAGGTTGGTCACTTGGTTCATACCAAACTAACATTCACTTCAGGTCGTTTGGGGCCATACCATACTGACATCCATCGAAGGCAGTTCAGGTTCATACAAAGGTGACAGTCACTTCAGGCCATTTGTTGTCATACGAAGCTTCCGTCCACTCTAACCAGTCGAGGTACATACCAAGCTGGCATTTAGTCTTAGGTTGGTTGGTGTCATACCAAGCTGATAGTCATTGAAGGCAGTTCAGGTTCATACCAAGCTGACATCCACCGAAGGCAGTACAGGACCTAGATTTTCAAAGCTCTCTTAGCGCTAAGATAGTCCTAAGTTAATGTTAATGTATGGCACTTACAACTATCTTAGCGCTAAGATAGCTTCGAAAATCTAGGCCTAGGTTCATGCCAAGCTGACATCCACTGAAGGCAGTTCAGATTCAGACCAAACCAATATCCACCGGAGGCAGTTCAGGTTCATACCACACTGACATCCACCGAAGGCAGTTCAGATTGAGGCCAAACTGACATCCACCGAAGGCAGTTCAGATTCATACCAAACTGACATCCGCCGAAGGCAGTTCAGGTTCATACCAAACTGACATCCACCGAAGGCAGTTCAGGTTCATACCACACTGACATCCACCGAAGGCAGTTCAGATTGAGACCAAACTGGCATCCACCGAAGGCAGTTCAGATTCATACCAAACTGACATCCGCCGAAGGCAGTTCAGGTTCATACCAAACTGACATCCACCGAAGGCAGTTCAGGTTCAAACCAAGCTGACATCCAACGAAGGCAGTTCAGATTCATACCAAACTGATATCCGCTCAAGGATTTTCACAGTCATCTAACCTCTTCATTGTCGTCTTTTCAAAAGTAGGACTAGTGAAAGTTAGTGGATTTTATATATATATATATTTGTGACTGGAAGCAATTTAAAATTTGTGTAATCAGAACTACATGTTGAATCTTTACACCTGCAAAAAGACCAGCTATTTTGATGAGCCACTTTTCTATATATTACATTACGTCTGTTATCAGTGATGCTATGCATTTGTGTTTTTCACCAGCAATTTCCTTTCACCAAGGTCAGAAGTCTGACAGATATATTTTCAAGATGGACTCTGGTGAGAGCCATTATTATGGCCTTCTGACTGCAACATTTACAGTGCAGCTACCATTATGCTGGTTATCAGTTCTGATAAAAAGTAAAAAGCTCTTGGCTCAAAACTGCATCAGTATAAATTGTTGCTAAAAGGCAGAGTGTATTTATGCTGGGCATATGGTAGAGTTGTTGAGATAACAGTGGGTGTGTAGTTATCTAGTAAATACTGCAACAGACCTGGGGCTAGATGTCATGTGGAATACTTCATTGCATAGTTGCATCCCTTGGGTGTGACAGGATGCTTTGAGTGTCGGTTCCAATTCCAAAACCACCTTGTCATCTTTTGTTAACATTTGTGGCTTTTTCCAGAGTGGTAAATTTCTCTGATATGTATTTGTTTGGGCTCTCCTCAAACAACAAGTTGACATGCTATGGTATGAAGTACTGTTCAAATGGAAACCAAACTCTCTTACCAGGTGATCAGAGTCAGTTTATGGGCAGTCAATTGGTGCGTCATTGTCAGAGTCAATATGTGGAGAGTACTTATATGATTTGAAATCATTTTTGTACATGTGATGTTATTTGTGTAAGCATGGGCACATATATGTAAGAAATGGCTAACTTCGCAAAATTAGCAATATTTTCAGTTGCATTACCATTTATAATGTCAGGAATCTCTTTTGACCTCCCTTTACACAAGTTATGTATGCTTCATATTGGCTGGGTAATGTAAGAGTCAAAATAAAAATCTTGAACAAAAATCACCTCCTTATTTTAGGGAACTACAATACCTGATCTGAAGCTAAAGAGCTCCATATTCCCTTTTTAGAGATTTGTTACGCGCATAAGTCATGCATCATGAATACTGACATGAAGACAATGTAAAAGGACATCCTTGTCAGCCACAAACACACAAATCCGAAAACAAACCATCAGAGGATGACCGGTGGTCATAATCAGGCTCCAGGTCTTGTGTTATCTTGCATTTATTTACGTATTATCATGTTTTGATAATTAGTTTCCTGCTAGGATTAAAGCACCTTGTCTAGACGCTGTACCTGGGGCCCTTCCCAGGGGAGCCCACTATGTCCGTCACGTGATGCCCAGTCCAGATTTTACGTACATCAAAAGTCCTCACAGGCTCATCAGCCCTTATTAAGAGTAATGCTGGGCTGTATATTGGAGGAAATTGTTTTCTATTTTTTGTGCTTAAAGCAGCAGGGGACTACTGTTTCCCTCTATGGTATAATAAATGATCTCAAGTACAGATTTCAAATCTCCTTTGATGTCTATGCAATGCTTTATTGATCAGTCAAGGACTTGTTTGAAGATTAGAAAGTTCAGTTATGAAACTTTTTTGGCTTTATACAAAAAGTGTTTTTGAGGTTATGGAAATTGTATCTTGGATTGGGGTTTTGTTTGTTTGGTTTTTTGCTTTTTGATTGATTCAGTTTATGTACTACAGTAAAATAGACTGTATTATAAAGTTTCTGAACATGTATATTGCACTTCTTTTAGTTTTGGTATGCAACTGTTGTGGGAATCTGGTAATAGCATTCCTGATGCTAATTCTTAGTGTCCAGATAGGGTGTAATATTTAGGTCCGATGATTCCTCCTGATGCATGGGCATCTGTAACACTGAAACCCATTCTTTCATCAAGGTGCTATACAAGTTCTGTAGCTCAGCGTAGTACTTTTTCTGTAAAGCACCTTTCACCTTGCTCAATTTCCATAGCCCTCTAAATTAGTGAGTATTGATGAATGTGGTCAACATCCTAAAGGCATATCAGAATGTTAAACTGAATAGTCTGAACAAATCTAA